TGCCTGTTTTAAGAAACAGAGAACAAGTCGCCCAACCAGCCCGTTATCAACCCTATAGTAACGGCCGTTTAGAACATGGACGGAGAAATGAAATTCGCCGTCAAAGGGAGCGTCGACAAAGAGAACGACAAGAAGAAATTGACAATGTCCAGACGGCCAAAGGATTCAAGGAAAAGCACAAGGCAAACTGTCAAAGTCAACAAGTAAGTTTAATTTATAATAAATTATCAAAATAACAATTTCTTTAGGTAAACTCCTGGAAAATCGTCGAGTTTCTTCTTCCTGCTCTTCTATTTTCAATTATCAAAGGTGGCCGAACCATCGTTTCCGAGATGATTGGGCACACAAAACAAGCAGCAATCGCAGCGATACGTCACCGGCTTGATGATCACAACTGGGACTACACGCCTCAATATACATTCGACGAATTGCAACATGAGAGGTAATGATTCTTATTTTTCCTTTAAAGATTTTAATCATATCCTTTTAGATTTCTTCGCACTTCTAGGCAATATCTTCGACGAAGGATTTCAAATTTTCAACAAGACTCAACTTTTGCCCTTCATTATCTCGACCGCACAAAGCTCATGATGAACGAGGGCGATCTTGGAAAGCAACTTGCAATATTGATCAACCCCGATATCTTTCACGACGTCAACGAGCAAGCTGTTCTTTTCAAGCTGGACGAACTGTGGTTTAACCACGTCTGCAAGGCCGTCTTCGCCGACTTCTACTGCTGCAAGTGCGGCTTTTTGATGCTGGACGAGCCCGAGCTACTCAAGCACATGCTGGACAAACATCGAAAAGATGTCAAGGCTGCGGTAAGAAATAACGACGACGAAGCTGATCGACTGATGCGAGAGGCTGTTCACGCGTCCTCTAAGAAGATCCAGATCCAGGAATACTTCCGCGATAACCATGCTAGATTCGCACGAGCAAGCAGCTACACCATCACCCTCCACTCCTGGATCAATGGCGACCAAGTCGACGACATTTAAACTTATATTCTGCTCTTCTCATTAAAAATAAACTTCTTTTAGAAAAAACTGTGCCTTTTATGTCTGAAAAAGCATGAAAACAGTCTTATTTTGATGAAAAAAAAAAACTCAGCCCCTCCGATTGCTCCCTTTTCGGGAGTGACTGGAGGGGCTTTTGTTTTTATAAATCATTTTACAAATTCCTCCTTGATTTCAATTTTAAAACTTATTTTTTTTCCGTAAATCTTGATTTATTTGAAAAAATTATCCCAAATTCAAATTCTCCGTGTCCGAAAACCCCTAAATCCTCCCTTTTTTTATCAATTATGATGAATTTCGGCCATTTCGAACTTTTCAGCTCTTGGTGATCTTTTTCCATCTCGGCCGGGCTTGGTTTCTGATCCGCTGCGCTCAAAGTGGCGCTGTTGTTCAGTTTCCTGGGCGTGGCCACCGCCACAGTTTTTTGAACTGAAATGACGGCCAATCAGCGGGCCGCGCGGCGAACTTTCTCACGCCCAGGAAACTGCTCTGTTTCTTGAATCGGAGACATCATCAAAAAGTCACTGAGAAAGCCGGAAGGCGTTGTCAGAATTACCTTCGAAGATCGAGTGCAATACTCTGATATTATCTTCTGCAAGACTTGGGTAAACTTGGCGATTCCGTCGATGTATCTGCCGGTCACAAACTTGTTACAGGTAATTAATCCTTTTAATGCCTCTCTGATTCTATTGGTAATAAGAGGAGTCAAAGAAATCCGACTGGCAAGGACTGTAAACCGCTGGAGAAATCCGAAAAGAGCGGGACATCAAGCTCAAGCAGCGATCAGACTCGCTTTACAAACCTGTCCAACGAAAGAAACGCGTGTTCAACAAAATGGTGTTGCCCAAGGAACTGAAAAAGGATATTCCTTTCAAAACGAAGATGAAAAATCAGCAGAAACAGATTGCGGGCGTGAACAAGTTTTGAAGCAGTTAGTTTTTATCCCGCAGGACCTGTCGAACTCGAGCTTAGGCTGCATTTTAAGAGCTTCAGAAAAACATGTGCGTTTTTTAAAGTTTTGGATAAATTTATAAATGCTTTTAGCGTGTCTTCGAGATCCTTGTCATTCTTGAAGGTCTGAAACAATTTTCTCCTCACGGCGAAGTTTGCAAAGTCTATCAGCGATGTAGAGAGCGAGTTATTGCTGATGCTATTCGTGATCGCCCTGCTCCAGAATATTTTCTCCTTCTTGTCGGCTTCTGGCTTGTTACGGATGAATTCGTGCTGAAGCATTTTTCCAGTGATTTTACGAAAACGAATCCGATATCTAACAGTTACATGAAGCACGTCATTCAATTCAGCGAGTCCGCTTCCAGTAAATTGCTCTCATCGCAGAGCAAGCTGTTCAAAACTAAATCCATCGGAGAGCTACTGTCAGCTTCTGTCGATGGTAACGGCCTCATCCCATAGGCAAAACTGTATCAACTCGCCGCTGTCATATCAATATTTTCTGAAGAGTCGCCGAACTATACGCCAATAAGTAAACTGGTACCTTTGGAAAGCTCTTCAGAAGAAGAAATCGAGTTTTGGATCTTGCAGGATGACTGCAAGACGTTCAAGAATTCTTCAGATGATTTTCCGCCAATAATTTTCAAGCGATTTGAATTCTTTTTGAATGAAATCTCACCTATTGCTTTTTCGAGGGCAAATATTTCTCTCGAAAGGACAGCTTTATCAGGTGAAGAGTCAGTCTTTTAAGATTTTAAATATATTCAAGCGAGCAAGCGTATTTCGTGGATGATAAAAGAAGTTCTACCTTTGACGACGACCAAAAATATGGTCATTCTGTCGAATAGTTTGAGACTAGTGATCAAGAAACTTGAAGAGCTCTCAAAGATCCTCCCTCCTGGATTCGAGACGTACATGATCAGCTCAAATCTTCATTATCTCTTGTTGAAGCTTATTTGCAAAAGTCTTGTTTATCTTCAATTCTGATGATTTTCAACTGCCAGGAAAGTCTGGACATAGAATTCCCGAAGAGGCCGATGGAGCGGGACGCTGCAACACCGATGATACGTCTCTACTGGAGAAAGCTGGCATCTCTTCGGGCTACTTTGACGAAAGATTCATGTCTCGCGCATTTGGAAATATATTTGAGCACTTTTTGCGACTCCTTCAGTTACATCTTCCAGTATCTTCTACAAAGTATCTCCAGCAGAAATCGCTCTTCAAATCTTCAAAAAGACCTTCAACTAGCTATTCATCTTGGCGCACAGCATCTTCATCTTCTTCAACGGCTAAAAATCACCAATCAAACTGAAAACTTGCGTTCAAAAATTTATCGTTTGTATATAAAACTAATGCTTCAATTCGGCCCTACCGAAGAAATAGCTGCTTTGTCTCCTGATTTTAAGAAAACCCGGTTACCAGAGGAAGAGGCCTATCTGCCAATTACTTCTGATGAATTATTCAATAAATCAGGAGAAGACAGTGATATTCTCGTTGACGAAGAAATTATCAACTGTCAAACTACTTGTAAATCAACTATTCAATCATTTTTCCTGGACCAATTCAAAACATGGGACCCTGAAACATTCATGAAACTGATAACCCAAAGAGTGTTGGAGAAATCCATGCGAGTTGTCCTTGAAGACATAGACGAGAACATAATTATTCCGGTGTTTCAAATTCTCCATCGCACTCATTCGGCAGAGCTGAATGTGATTGGTATTTTAGCAGAAATGTCAGATAATGTTTGGACTCTTTCCAGAAATACTCGGATCTTTTTACTAGGTATATTTTATCGAAAATTCGAGCTGCTTTAATCATTCTTAGAGGCATCAAAATATTACATGCTGAAGCCGGAAAGGGTTATCCTCGAACGAGTCCTGTATTATCTGAGAATGGTTAACACGCCGAAAAATCAAGAACTAGTGCTCTTATTGGAGCAACTTGGTCGAAGCTCGTGTTCGCTAGACTCAGCCGTCTTGGATGCGTACTGTGATCTTACAGTAGACTGGTAAGTTCCCTTGACAAGGAACAATAAGAAATAGTCATTTTAGTACGGAATCCTTCGATCTTGTCTTCGACACGAGTGAGGAAGGGTCACACTCTCCATCTAATCTACTCAGCGCTTCTCTACCTTTCGAAATTCCAGAGCTCGAGGAACCTCTATGGAAAAATATGTCTAAATTGAGCTTTTCAAAAGCTGATTTCAAATCATTCATTGCACTCCGCCACAGTTCTTGATAAAAACAAAACTTTCTTTCTTATTTTCTTAACAATCTTTACTTTTAATAATTTATTTCTTAAATTTATAATGCCCAATATAAGAATGTTGGATGTTTTGACAAAACTTCCGGAACATTTTTTGGAATTAAAAAGAATGGGAAAAGCTCAGACTCTGACGCGCTGGAAAAACTTTGCGCTGATCTTATTTCATCCTCTCCTGCGAAAATGATCCAAGTCATTTGCTCTCTGAAGAATATTCTTGCCGACTCGACATTGATCTTTCCAGTTTTATCCGACTTCGTTGGCTTCTGCTCATCATACGAAGTCCTTGAAAGAATAGCTCTAAGTAGCGTGCAGCAGAAAGTCTTCGTTGATTTCCTCAATTTTATCTGGAATCTACCAACTCGCTTTGCAAATGTAAATAAAGGAGCTTTACCGACGAATTTGAAGCATCAAAATTTTATGCAAAATTTGGAGAATCTCGCTTGTTGCCTTTTACGCCAGAGAGATGTCAAGAAGACTTGTGCGTTACTTGATCTCACGTTCGCGAATGTGTCACAATCGAAAGAATCAGCCCTATTTCTGCACGAGTTTGCTCAGATAGTGATAGACGAAGCTGAATTAGCGAAAGACGTTGCCAAAAATCTCCGTTTTCGCGCGAGAAGAAACTTCCTTGAATCATTCATAAACTACTGTCCGCCTTTTTCATTTCAAACATTGGTATTTCCTCTTGTCGACATATTTCTCGCTAAAAACTTCAACTTGCTTCGAATATGCACCGGTCGATTACTCAATCAAAATGGCCAGTTTCACATGGGACGAATTGTTGCTATCGCAGGTCTGGAGACATGGAAACATTTAGTTGACTACTGGGCGGACGAAAACATTGTTATCAAGGTTTCTGTCGATCAAAGAATCCAAGTTTCGAAAATCATTGCCTTCTCAGTCGACTATCTTCCTAAATGTCCGGATGAAATGCGATTGGAGATTATCAACACTGTTTCTTTGGGCTTCAAAAACCACTTTGCTCAGTCGGCGTCCGACAATCGAGATATTGGAATGCTTTCTGCCAAGAAGATCATCTCAGTATTTGATTCAGAGGCCAAACTTGACTTTCCAATCACGAATAAAGACCTTCAAGCGGATCAAAATAAAGTTCACGAAGATAGCAGAGAGCGAACAATCGAATTCTTGAACGGTAACCAACAAAAAGTCGAAGATGAAAGAATCAATGCTGGAAACTGTGACGATGATGATGATGATGATGATCGAGAAAGTCTTGATTCCGACGACTTGGAATTCGAACAATTCGAATTCGAAACGCCGAACCTTTCAAAATACAGTCCCCGCTTTCTTATGGAAGCCAGTGGAATTTTGGTCGAGAGAAATCTACCCCAATCAATGTCAAAAACGGAGAAGACTAAACGCAAACTCGCCGCGCTGGAAACAATTCCGTATTTAGCAAAGGTCAATCAGGTTTCTTCGAAGGAGCTTGTGGAAGAGATTTTGAAAGGGATCGTTTATTTTGAAATTGTTAACGATAATGATGCTGCTCTCGTGGGTGATGCTCTAGAATCGTTGGCAGTTGTGGCTCCGGAATTTTATGCTCCTGCGATTGTTGGTAATAATAGTTTTTTGGTACGAACATTTTCTAATTTTTAGGTGAATTTTATGCCGAGTCAATGCCTCTAGAAAAACGGCAGATCATTCTTGCCTCTCTATCGAAGGCCGTAAAGCAATTGGCGGACCTTCCCTTCGAAGAACTTGAAGAAGAGATCGCCTTTGAAAAATTAGCGCTTTCCGCAAAAGTTGAATCACAATCACGGCGCTGGGGAAGCCGCCCAAAAAGCGAGAAGATGCTCAAGTCTCGGTTTTATCCTGCCGCTGGATATTTTCTTTTTCCTTTCTTGCGCAGCTGGGATTCGAATAAACGAACGTTGATGTTGGAGACGTGCGATAAAGACGTCTTGTCAAGAATGATTGCATTCGTCGGCCAGATCATTTCTCTCTTGGATAATATTCCCGAAATCGAGAAATACGTCCTTCCTTCCATAGATTTTCTCGCGACTTTTAGAAGAATTGGTAATTTGTCAGCGCTTTTCTTATAAAACTCTATCTTTAGATGACACGAATTTGAAACTTGTAATAATCAAATCTTACCAAGTTTGTCTGCTGAGCATCGCTTCAACTAAACAAGAAATCTGGATGGACATCACTTGGAAAATGTGGCTAGAAGAATGCCAATCGCTTGATTGCCCACGCCTTTCACTTGCTGCGACTGACCTTTTGAATCTATTCTAGTTCATGAGTCTACTTCTCCTTGACGGATTTTTTTTTTCAGAATGAGCGGTTACGAGCCACCAGTCGGACACATTCTGCATTCTTCATATGGCCATGGAGTTTTGCGAGAGCTCGCTGCATTTGACTCCAAAATCTCGCCTGTAAATCTTATGCTGCCGCTTTTCGTAACGAATAGCTCCCCTGACGCCCTGGAACCGATAAATGCGCTGCCCGGAGTGAGTCGCTATGGAATCAACAATCTCATTCCCTTCCTTTCCCAACAAGTCGCCAAAGGTCTTCGCTCAGTTATCATTTTTGGCGTAGATGTCAAATCGACTAAAGATGCTGTCGGATCTAGCGCAGATTGCGAGACGGGCCCTACCATTGAAGCTATTAAATTGATCAAGTCAAAATATCCACAGGTCAGTTTTTAGTTATTATTCATATAAACGCCCATTATCTATGCATTATAATTGTAAATTACAGTAATGATAGCTGTGGGTCGCGGCTGACGTTTGTATTTGTCCCTTCTCCGAAACCGGGCACTGTGGGATTTTCGAAGATGATCGCATGAACAACCAGAAGTCCATCGATAGACTAGCCGAGATCGCAGGCAATTATGGACTCGCAGGTGCTGACTGCGTGGCTCCTTCGGATATGATGGATGGAAGGATAGGAGCGATCAAAAGCAGACTTCGGGAACTCAAGCTTGGCTCACGAGTTGCCGTGATGTCCTACTCGGCTAAATTTTGTTCTGTTGCGGGTTAAATATCGAATAACTAAAGAGTAAGCTTTGAAAATAGAGCGGAATTGATAATAACTCGGGTGAAGCATTTTATGGGCCTTTCAGAGAAGCAGCTGGTTCTGCTCCTAAATTTGGCGATAGAAGAAATTATCAGGTTAGCATTCACATTAGCTAATTTTCTACTTTATTTTTCAGCTTCCACCAGGAGCATCAAGTTTGGCGATGAGATGCAACGATAGAGATGCGAACGAAGGTGCAGATATTTTAATGGTAAAACCGGCCGGTGCCTATCTAGGGACTGTTCTCGCTATAAATTAAATATCCAATTTGTAAATCATGAAAACCGATAAAAGATATTATCTACCGAACGAAGCAAGAGTTTCCGAATTTTCCAGTGGCTGCTTATCAGGTGTCTGGCGAGTACGCGCTACTCGTCCACGGCGCCAAAGCTGGAGCGATTGATTTGAAGAAGGGAGTGCTCGAAAGTCTAACGGCGTGTAGAAGAGCTGGCGCAGAAATGATTCTTTCTTATTTTACTCCACAAGTCTTACAGTGGCTTGACGACGATGAGAAAGCTATTCGAGCTTGCGCAAACTGAGTTAATTTTAAATACAGTTCAAGTTGTCTTTTAAATGCAAAACTCACAAATATCAAGTGCTCTAGAATGGTTGTCCTAAATTTGTACTTGATCCGGCACGGCGAAACATCGTACAATAAAGCTGGCATTTTGCAAGGGCAGGTAAAAGACGCAATAGTCATTTCTGCAAGTAAAGATTTTTAGCTCGATATTCCTTTGAGCGAAATGGGCAGAGATCAAGAAAGTGCTTCCACTCATGAACGCCAAGTTTATTTTCAGTTTATTTCTGATCTGCAAATGAGCAAAGCGCTTGGCCGAGGCGAAAGTTCTTCCCAAGGCTGATCTCGTTTACTCCTCGCCCCTTTCTCGCGCTCTGGAAACAGCTAAAATCGCTACGAATGACATCGGGGAAGAACGCATAATCTGCGACGACTTGCTCAAAGAAAAGGGAATGGGCAAACTCGAGGGCAAGTTGAGGAGCGAAGTTGACTGGAACAGCCCGGAAATGGAAGCAGACGCCGACGTCAAATACAGAGCTGTGAATTTTCTCCGGTCGCTTATCGAAGAGGCCAAAGTTGACAAGACAATACTGATTTTCGCGCATGGTTTCTTGTTGAAAATGCTCTTCAGACATTTCCTTGGACTCAAGAATTTCGACTTTGGCGAGTACAAGGCAGAAGCTAAGGAGACGATGAAGAATACGGCATTCCATCATATTGTTATCAAGAAGACCTCTGGTTGGATCGAATCGAAGATATAAGAAATTGACAATGTCCAGACGGCCAAAGGATTCAAGGAAAAGCACAAGGCAAACTGTCAAAGTCAACAAGTAAGTTTAATTTATAATAAATTATCAAAATAACAATTTCTTTAGGTAAACTCCTGGAAAATCGTCGAGTTTCTTCTTCCTGCTCTTCTATTTTCAATTATCAAAGGTGGCCGAACCATCGTTTCCGAGATGATTGGGCACACAAAACAAGCAGCAATCGCAGCGATACGTCACCGGCTTGATGATCACAACTGGGACTACACGCCTCAATATACATTCGACGAATTGCAACATGAGAGGTAATGATTCTTATTTTTCCTTTAAAGATTTTAATCATATCCTTTTAGATTTCTTCGCACTTCTAGGCAATATCTTCGACGAAGGATTTCAAATTTTCAACAAGACTCAACTTTTGCCCTTCATTATCTCGACCGCACAAAGCTCATGATGAACGAGGGCGATCTTGGAAAGCAACTTGCAATATTGATCAACCCCGATATCTTTCACGACGTCAACGAGCAAGCTGTTCTTTTCAAGCTGGACGAACTGTGGTTTAACCACGTCTGCAAGGCCGTCTTCGCCGACTTCTACTGCTGCAAGTGCGGCTTTTTGATGCTGGACGAGCCCGAGCTACTCAAGCACATGCTGGACAAACATCGAAAAGATGTCAAGGCTGCGGTAAGAAATAACGACGACGAAGCTGATCGACTGATGCGAGAGGCTGTTCACGCGTCCTCTAAGAAGATCCAGATCCAGGAATACTTCCGCGATAACCATGCTAGATTCGCACGAGCAAGCAGCTACACCATCACCCTCCACTCCTGGATCAATGGCGACCAAGTCGACGACATTTAAACTTATATTCTGCTCTTCTCATTAAAAATAAACTTCTTTTAGAAAAAACTGTGCCTTTTATGTCTGAAAAAGCATGAAAACAGTCTTATTTTGATGAAAAAAAAACTCAGCCCCTCCGATTGCTCCCTTTTCGGGAGTGACTGGAGGGGCTTTTGTTTTTATAAATCATTTTACAAATTCCTCCTTGATTTCAATTTTAAAACTTATTTTTTTTCCGTAAATCTTGATTTATTTGAAAAAATTATCCCAAATTCAAATTCTCCGTGTCCGAAAACCCCTAAATCCTCCCTTTTTTTATCAATTATGATGAATTTCGGCCATTTCGAACTTTTCAGCTCTTGGTGATCTTTTTCCATCTCGGCCGGGCTTGGTTTCTGATCCGCTGCGCTCAAAGTGGCGCTGTTGTTCAGTTTCCTGGGCGTGGCCACCGCCACAGTTTTTTGAACTGAAATGACGGCCAATCAGCGGGCCGCGCGGCGAACTTTCTCACGCCCAGGAAACTGCTCTGTTTCTTGAATCGGAGACATCATCAAAAAGTCACTGAGAAAGCCGGAAGGCGTTGTCAGAATTACCTTCGAAGATCGAGTGCAATACTCTGATATTATCTTCTGCAAGACTTGGGTAAACTTGGCGATTCCGTCGATGTATCTGCCGGTCACAAACTTGTTACAGGTAATTAATCCTTTTTAATGCCTCTCTGATTCTATTGGTAATAAGAGGAGTCAAAGAAATCCGACTGGCAAGGACTGTAAACCGCTGGAGAAATCCGAAAAGAGCGGGACATCAAGCTCAAGCAGCGATCAGACTCGCTTTACAAACCTGTCCAACGAAAGAAACGCGTGTTCAACAAAATGGTGTTGCCCAAGGAACTGAAAAAGGATATTCCTTTCAAAACGAAGATGAAAAATCAGCAGAAACAGATTGCGGGCGTGAACAAGTTTTGAAGCAGTTAGTTTTTATCCCGCAGGACCTGTCGAACTCGAGCTTAGGCTGCATTTTAAGAGCTTCAGAAAAACATGTGCGTTTTTTAAAGTTTTGGATAAATTTATAAATGCTTTTAGCGTGTCTTCGAGATCCTTGTCATTCTTGAAGGTCTGAAACAATTTTCTCCTCACGGCGAAGTTTGCAAAGTCTATCAGCGATGTAGAGAGCGAGTTATTGCTGATGCTATTCGTGATCGCCCTGCTCCAGAATATTTTCTCCTTCTTGTCGGCTTCTGGCTTGTTACGGATGAATTCGTGCTGAAGCATTTTTCCAGTGATTTTACGAAAACGAATCCGATATCTAACAGTTACATGAAGCACGTCATTCAATTCAGCGAGTCCGCTTCCAGTAAATTGCTCTCATCGCAGAGCAAGCTGTTCAAAACTAAATCCATCGGAGAGCTACTGTCAGCTTCTGTCGATGGTAACGGCCTCATCCCATAGGCAAAACTGTATCAACTCGCCGCTGTCATATCAATATTTTCTGAAGAGTCGCCGAACTATACGCCAATAAGTAAACTGGTACCTTTGGAAAGCTCTTCAGAAGAAGAAATCGAGTTTTGGATCTTGCAGGATGACTGCAAGACGTTCAAGAATTCTTCAGATGATTTTCCGCCAATAATTTTCAAGCGATTTGAATTCTTTTTGAATGAAATCTCACCTATTGCTTTTTCGAGGGCAAATATTTCTCTCGAAAGGACAGCTTTATCAGGTGAAGAGTCAGTCTTTTTAAGATTTTAAATATATTCAAGCGAGCAAGCGTATTTCGTGGATGATAAAAGAAGTTCTACCTTTGACGACGACCAAAAATATGGTCATTCTGTCGAATAGTTTGAGACTAGTGATCAAGAAACTTGAAGAGCTCTCAAAGATCCTCCCTCCTGGATTCGAGACGTACATGATCAGCTCAAATCTTCATTATCTCTTGTTGAAGCTTATTTGCAAAAGTCTTGTTTATCTTCAATTCTGATGATTTTCAACTGCCAGGAAAGTCTGGACATAGAATTCCCGAAGAGGCCGATGGAGCGGGACGCTGCAACACCGATGATACGTCTCTACTGGAGAAAGCTGGCATCTCTTCGGGCTACTTTGACGAAAGATTCATGTCTCGCGCATTTGGAAATATATTTGAGCACTTTTTGCGACTCCTTCAGTTACATCTTCCAGTATCTTCTACAAAGTATCTCCAGCAGAAATCGCTCTTCAAATCTTCAAAAAGACCTTCAACTAGCTATTCATCTTGGCGCACAGCATCTTCATCTTCTTCAACGGCTAAAAATCACCAATCAAACTGAAAACTTGCGTTCAAAAATTTATCGTTTGTATATAAAACTAATGCTTCAATTCGGCCCTACCGAAGAAATAGCTGCTTTGTCTCCTGATTTTAAGAAAACCCGGTTACCAGAGGAAGAGGCCTATCTGCCAATTACTTCTGATGAATTATTCAATAAATCAGGAGAAGACAGTGATATTCTCGTTGACGAAGAAATTATCAACTGTCAAACTACTTGTAAATCAACTATTCAATCATTTTTCCTGGACCAATTCAAAACATGGGACCCTGAAACATTCATGAAACTGATAACCCAAAGAGTGTTGGAGAAATCCATGCGAGTTGTCCTTGAAGACATAGACGAGAACATAATTATTCCGGTGTTTCAAATTCTCCATCGCACTCATTCGGCAGAGCTGAATGTGATTGGTATTTTAGCAGAAATGTCAGATAATGTTTGGACTCTTTCCAGAAATACTCGGATCTTTTTACTAGGTATATTTTATCGAAAATTCGAGCTGCTTTAATCATTCTTAGAGGCATCAAAATATTACATGCTGAAGCCGGAAAGGGTTATCCTCGAACGAGTCCTGTATTATCTGAGAATGGTTAACACGCCGAAAAATCAAGAACTAGTGCTCTTATTGGAGCAACTTGGTCGAAGCTCGTGTTCGCTAGACTCAGCCGTCTTGGATGCGTACTGTGATCTTACAGTAGACTGGTAAGTTCCCTTGACAAGGAACAATAAGAAATAGTCATTTTAGTACGGAATCCTTCGATCTTGTCTTCGACACGAGTGAGGAAGGGTCACACTCTCCATCTAATCTACTCAGCGCTTCTCTACCTTTCGAAATTCCAGAGCTCGAGGAACCTCTATGGAAAAATATGTCTAAATTGAGCTTTTCAAAAGCTGATTTCAAATCATTCATTGCACTCCGCCACAGTTCTTGATAAAAACAAAACTTTCTTTCTTATTTTCTTAACAATCTTTACTTTTAATAATTTATTTCTTAAATTTATAATGCCCAATATAAGAATGTTGGATGTTTTGACAAAACTTCCGGAACATTTTTTGGAATTAAAAAGAATGGGAAAAGCTCAGACTCTGACGCGCTGGAAAAACTTTGCGCTGATCTTATTTCATCCTCTCCTGCGAAAATGATCCAAGTCATTTGCTCTCTGAAGAATATTCTTGCCGACTCGACATTGATCTTTCCAGTTTTATCCGACTTCGTTGGCTTCTGCTCATCATACGAAGTCCTTGAAAGAATAGCTCTAAGTAGCGTGGAGCAGAAAGTCTTCGTTGATTTCCTCAATTTTATCTGGAATCTACCAACTCGCTTTGCAAATGTAAATAAAGGAGCTTTACCGACGAATTTGAAGCATCAAAATTTTATGCAAAATTTGGAGAATCTCGCTTGTTGCCTTTTACGCCAGAGAGATGTCAAGAAGACTTGTGCGTTACTTGATCTCACGTTCGCGAATGTGTCACAATCGAAAGAATCAGCCCTATTTCTGCACGAGTTTGCTCAGATAGTGATAGACGAAGCTGAATTAGCGAAAGACGTTGCCAAAAATCTCCGTTTTCGCGCGAGAAGAAACTTCCTTGAATCATTCATAAACTACTGTCCGCCTTTTTCATTTCAAACATTGGTATTTCCTCTTGTCGACATATTTCTCGCTAAAAACTTCAACTTGCTTCGAATATGCACCGGTCGATTACTCAATCAAAGATTTCAAGATTCTCAAGATTTAGATGAGGAAGCTTTCAAGGGCACGAAAATCGTCATTTGCCAAAACGAGATTCCTGTGAGTACGACCAAAAGAGCTCTACAACTTGGAAGAGCAGCTGGAGCAAAGACAATCTACTCACCCGCGCCTTGCCCGAGCAGGGAAGACTTCGAGACGTTCTCTGAACAGATCGACTTTCTCATCGCGAATCAGACAGAAGCTCTGGAACTAAGTGGAAAAGAAACTATTGAAGACGCGGCGACAACTCTACAGGAGAAATACAAACTCAAAAGTGTAATTGTCACTCTCGGTGGAGACGGATTTGCCGTCAAAAGTCAGTGTCTAGATTTTGATTGTTGCTTAAAAAATGATGAATTTTTAGGCGAAGGAGAGCTGACATTGCACCCAGTTGTTGAAAAAGTAGACGTGGTCGACACGACCGGCGCTGGAGACTCATTCGTTGGCGCCTTTTCTTACTCGCTTACCAAGACGCAGAAAACGACGATCGAACATGCCAAATTTGCGTCTATGGTTGCTTCCCGCTCTACAACAAGAAAGGTATAATAACTACACCAAGATCGTTTGTTATTATTTTCAAGGGAACTCAGAAATCGTACTTCTGTCTATCTGAGCTTGAGTGATTGTTATTCAACTCCTTTGCTTCTTTATTTCGCAGTTCTTCAATTGATTTGATTCCTGATTCAACTTTTCTGTTCAATAAATCTTTTCGCTCTTAATAAAAAGCTTCATTTGCGAACCTTCGAGAACAGATGAATTCTGAGCTCACCTGAGAACATCATCGATGCAAATTCAAAATAGCACTTGTTTTCTTGTCAGATAGCGAGGAAGAATGTTCGCTTGCAGTCTGTCCGTGCATATAAACAGTGGCAGGTTTATTTGTGTTAACTCGAGAAAGACTTTGCTGGGATGAATATTCGATTATAAATAAACAGCCGCCGCCGCAATTAGATACCTGCCGCAGCCTCAATTTCAGAAGCCACCTCTAGCCAAAT